TAGTGGCTCCAGCCATGCCCCGCCTTTCAATATTGCAACACCACCTTGTCATCTACAATTCACACTCAAGAAACTTGCAAATGAATTACAAAAGACTAGGTGTGAATCAAGAGAGAGAGAGAGAGAGAGAGAGAGAGAGAGAGAGAGAGAGAGAGAGAAGAGCTGGAGAGGTGGCTCAGTAGTTAAGAGCAAGCATTATTTGGTTCCCAGCACTCACATTGTGGCTCACACCCACCTATAACTCCAGCTCCAGTGGATCCAACACCCTCTTCTGATCTCTCCAGACACCTGCATGCATGTGGCATAAACCCACACAATGCACACACACACACACACACACGCACGCACGCACGCACGCACGCACGCACGCACGCACGCACGCACAAATAAAAATAACCTTCAAAAATAATAAAATCAATTTTTTTTTTCTAATCTAATGTTTTTAAGTTTACAGTTTTGTGCTGGGCCACATTTCCTTACTGTCCATAGCCTTATGTGACCTGCAAACCTTAGGTTGGATGGCTGGGTCCTTCTTGGCCTCTTTCAAATCTTTCTCCCTTCTCCCAGCACCCCGCCCACCCTGCACCTCCCACAGATTAACTGAGATATAAATACTACTTGCTGACTAAAAATATTCCTGGTAGAAGTAACAGTGTGATTACCAGAAACTGGCTAGGAGAAAACTCATTCTTGACTGAAACCGACAAAACATTGTAATCCTGACCACGGGTCTTGTTTTACTTTCCAATCTTCCCAAACTGCATGGGGTTACCTGGTCACATTCACAATGGCAGAGCCTGGTGCTGAGAGCCTGCAACTCCCAGACTGATAGACAGATCAAATCCCAGTGGCAACATCGAGCACGAGGAATTGATGCCGAGGAAGAGTTATAGTTGAAATTAAAACGGAATGAAAAGCGTGGACATTTATTTGTTCTGCTGTAGAACATTTATTTGTTCCTCCATAGGGAGGAAAACTGAAAAAAAAAAAAAACAACTCATCAAGGGAATGAAGTTGGGTAACTAGAATTCAAAGTGGAAAACATCTCCCCGAAAGTGCACGGTGCTGGCATGTTTTAGTTTAAAATGTTTGTATTCAAAACATCCTTGCGGTTAAAATATCCAGGTCAAAATAGTCAGTGCTCACCCCATCTATTTCCGTACGCTCTCATCTCCAGAGGAGGGATACTCCCACCACACAAGGGTCTTTCTGTCCCTGGAGCCTATCATGACTTCCCTCCCTCCCGAGACCTGGGCTTTTTGCCTCCAGCACTCCTTAGCTCTGGGTCCTCCCTCCTGCTGCTCTGGCCATCTCCTCCATGAGAAACTTCCTCATAGCCCTCTCTAAAATGGGTTTTCTGTCTGTCTCCTTTAAAAATTAGATATAAAGATATATACAGGTAGATGCATGTGTGTGTGTGTGTGTGTGTGTGTGTGTGTGTATGTGTGTGTGTGTGTGTGTGTGTGTGTACACGCATGCAAGCAGTCACCCCTATGGGGTCAAAGGAGAACTTATAGGGTTCAGTTCTCTCCTTCTCCCATGCGGGTCCTAGGAACAGCACCCAGGCCATCAGGCTTAGTGGAAAGTGCTGTTCCCCGCCAAGCTGTCCTTTCTGTACAGTGATGACAACTTCTCAAATCCCCAGGGCAGGACTGTAACTTTGGAATGTAGCAGACGATGAGCTTGAACTTCTGATATTCCTGCCTCCACTTCCTCAGTGCCAGGATCACAGGTGTGTGCGCTACCACACCTAGTTTATGGGGTGCTGGGGATTGAACTCAGGGCCGACCCAGCTACATCCCTAGCTGCCTCGTTCTGTCTCCTCTTAGTCCCTTCGCTTTATGCTCTCTTGTTTTCTCTTGAATTCCCAAGGCAGATCCCAGGGTAGGCACTCAAGGAATGTTTGTTGAGGGGCTGGAGAGATGGCTCAGTGGTTAAGAGCACAGGCGGCCCTTCCAGAGGACGCAGGTTCAATTCCCAGCACCCACATGGCTGCTCACAACTGTCTGTAACTCCAGTCCAGGAGATCTGATGCCCTCTGCTGGCCTCCACAGGCACAGCACACACATGATGCACAAATACACATGCAGCAAAACACCCATACACATGGAATAATAAAATAAATTAAAAAAGAAATGTTTGTTGAGTGAATCCATGTCCATGGGACAAGAGATGGGGAAGTGGGGTGGGACTCCCAGAGCTCTGGGAGAAAAGAGGGAGGAAAGGGTAGAGTCACATCCCTTGCACACCCCTGACAGCAAGCACCAGAGAAGCCCAGGCCAGCAGGAGAGTAAAGATACCTACCAAGGTGGCTTTATTCCCTGCCCCGATCCAGGCCCATCTTCCCAAGGATCATCCCATGTGCCAACAGCTGCCCCAACCTGGACTGGCCCTTCGTTCCTGGCTCCTACATTTGGCTGCTGGCAAGGCTGTCCAGGAAAACCTGGTGATCTCCACTCTGGCTTCTTTACCCCGAATACACACCTCCACCTGAAGATCCTGGTTAGACGCCCTTAGCCTTAAGCAATGCTAGTCAAATTCCCAATTAGTGCTCAGCTGGTTAAAAGCCTTTTCTAAAAGCTTTGAGTCCCTTTCCCCCACCGGAAGCTGCTAACTAGGGCATCAAGTCTCAGAATGAGGGCACAGAAATACTACCTATCCCCAGCCTCCCTTCCCAGCCTGAGACACGGGTCCGGGATGAGGGGCCCCGGGTAGAAGGTCCTCCAGGAGGTGGAACAAAAATGAGAGTAGGAAAGCCAGAGGCCAGCCAGGCAGTGGTGGCGCACACCTTTAATCCCAGCACTCGGGAGGCAGAGTCAGGTGGATCTCTGTGAGTTCGAGGTCAGCCTGATCTACAGAGGGAGTTCCAGGACACCCAAGGCTACACAAAGAAACCATCTTGTCTTGAAAAACCAAAACCAAACAAACAAAACAAAACAAAAAGAAAGCCAGAGGTCACTGTAGCCTGTGGGTCTTTTACCCAAGGAGACCTAGGTTCAAGGCTGCACCTTGAGCAAGTAGCTTTGACCTCTGCACTTGCCTATCACCGCATAAGGGACCTTTTTTTTCTGTGGTGTTCACAGGGCAGAACCAGACAGCTCTGGATTGACTGTGAAAAATCAAGTTCTTGAAAGACCCCGGGGTCCGGGGGATACTTCTGCGGAGTTCCTGGAAGGGGCCATGTGATGGTTCATCTTGTCGATTCGATGACATTTAGGATCACCATGGAAACCATCCTCTAGGCATGTTTGTGAGGGATTATCCAGGTCAGGCTGAGGTGGAAGGAAGGTCCATCCTACCTGTGAGCAGCACTATTCATTGGGCTGTGGTCCCCAATAAAATAAAGAGGAACAGAGCACCTGAATGCATCTCTTTGCTCCCGGCTTCCGACCCAATGTGCCCAGCTGTCTCCCATGCCTGCATCACTTGGCCTGAGGGGCTGGACCTTCTGACTGTGAGCCAAAACAGACCTTTCCTTCCTAAAACTGCCTTCGTCAGGTCCTTTGTCATAGCGGTGAGACAACTGTCCCAAGCCAAGTCACTGAATGGCCAGCTCAAGCTCAGCCAAGGAGGACAGACTGGAAGGTGGGCAGATCTCCCCTAAAGTCCATGCCCCCCACCCCCCATGTTTCTTTGCTTCCCCCTCCCCGCCAGAAAACACAAAGCTCCTGGCGTCTAACATCATTCCTGGTATCCCCCTTCTAGAACTCTCAAATCAGGGCAGGGCTGGCATCATGTAGGAATCGGCAAGGCCAGGCCAGGAGGGTGGGGAGGGGAGGTGCTGGGCCCGGGAGGACAATGAGGGAGCTAGGGCAGTTGAGATGTGGCCAGGCCTCTCCATGGGCATCTGGAGTTCGGGAGGGTCTACGGCTCTGGCTCTCACCACACCCCAGGAAACCTTAGGCAAATAAACAAGCAGCCAACACAGCAAGGCCTGTGCAGGAGCTGCGGCCACGGTGTGGCCAGCGGCAGGGAGCAGAGAGGCCAGGGGACTGTTTAAAGAGGCCCAGCGGAAAGGCTGGAGCAGGGTGGGGGCACCGTGGTGGTTTGGAGCAGGAAGCTGGGCCTGGGATGCATGGGTTGAACTTGGCTGCTTCAAGGTAAAAAGAAAGGTGTTGATTCAACCCTGCTCTTGTCCACACTTCTTCTGAGGGAGGCGCCAAGTCCTCGCCTTCCATTTAAACTCAAACTGGTCAACAGGACAGACAAGGGGCTGCCCCTCCCTCACTCTGAACCCCCAGTTCTGCTTCCAGGCCTATGACTCTGGGCCTTGTCATTGAAGAATATTCCATTGCCAGAGCCAGAGTTCCCAACAGAGGGCCAGGGAAAGAGGCACCAATCTTGACCTATTGTCCTGATACCCTCATTTGCTTGGGGGAGGACAGTCGTGCCCCAGGATGCTTTGCCACTTCCTGTGACCCAGAGTTACTCGTCTACACTGTTCCCCTGAGCTTCCTCAAGAGAGTGAGTCCCAGAGACACAGGACCACCACGCCTAAGCTGAGAGGTAGAGGCATGGAGCTGGGGGTGTCGGCTCATGTCTGCAATCCCAGCACTTAAGAGGTTAAAGCACGAGGATTGCGGTGAGTTGGAGGCTAGCTAGCCTGGGCTACACAGTGAGTTCCGAGCCAGCCTGAGCTATAGATTAAGATCTTGTCTTCAAAATGAACCAAAACAGACAGAAACAGAACTACGGAGCCATTCGGCCAGAGAGAAAAGTAAGTGTGTGTGTGTGTGTGTGTGTGTGTGTGTGTGTGTGTGTGTGTGTGGTGGGGGGAGGGGAAGAGGAGAGAAAAGACAGCAACAGAGACGGGAAGACAGGGAGACAGGGATGGCACACACAGCAGGGAGAGGACAAACACATTCTAAGGCAGAGGAAGGCCCCAAGAACCACACGGCCAGGCAGAGCTAGAGATTCCGGTCCCCTAGACCCTCCTGAGAAATTCTGGAGACGGGTGCTGAACACCAAGTCCTACGGGCCTTGAGGGAGTCCCAGGACGGTGATTCTACTGCCTCCTCTCTCCAACACTGAGCAACTGCAGGCTGCTGGCCCCCAGCCACCATCAAGTAAGTCAGCGGCTGGCCACTGGAGCTGGTGGGTCACCCAAGGTGAATGAAAGGCACCAAAGAGGGAGGGGAGGCCATGAGTGCGGGAAGGGCATAGGCTGCATGCTGTAGGGCATCGGGCGATGTGGAGGGGTGTCCACGTGAGACTTGGTGCTCAGGAACGGTTTGTGAGCCAGGTAGCATGCTGGGTAAGTGAGTGTATGCATGTGGGTGCGTGTGTCTATTTCCATAAAAAACTTTGCAGTGTTAAGGAGGCCAAAGTAGCAGGTTGGTCCCCAGACAGCCCAGTAAGAATCATGACTGAGCAGAGCTGGTCACAAAAGAGGTGGCAGGCCTTTGTTTTTCTGAGCAGATGGTATGTATGCCCAGGTGCCACAGGGCACTCCACAGCAGCCTAGAACAACATGCCACTTCTTTCCATCAGGGATGATCCCAGCTACCAGCTCACCGGCTCCCACACTCCTGAAGAAGCCCCCCCTCCCTGGCTGTGGGTGTGAGAGGGAGGCATGGTGGGGTGGGGTGGGGGATGGGAGGCATGGTGGGTATTCAACCTTGCCTTCCTCTGATCTAGTTTCTACCCGTCTCGTTGCTGCATACAAGCTTATTTCGTCGTCCTTGCTCCATGGGAGCAGAAAGTGCCACATCCTTGCCACGCTGGAAAGAAAAGCAAGCTCTCCTCCGCATCCCTTTCCACTCAAGCGTCATAGGACATAAAAAAAAGAAAAATGTCCCAATTTTTAGTTAGAGAATGAGGTCAGGAAGCCCAAGGGGGGACCGTTTATTGGTGACAACTGACAATTTTCATTTCACCTTGAAACTCCCTCCTTGTCTAGACATGTGTGGCCCAAGTCCGGTTTTAAGGCCACTTTACCAGAGGAGGAGTAGAGGGATGAGGTTAACGAAATGACACTGAGGGTCACAGACTCAGCCAGGTCCCCTGTCACCGTTGCAGGGCATGGAACAAGAAAACTGCTGGCGGTCACAGACATAGGCCGACATATCTAAAGTTCGGACGGTATGGTGGCACCAGCCTGCAATCCCAGCTGCCTGAGAAGCTGAGGCAGGAGGACAGCTTCAAGTTTAAGGTCAGCCTAAATAGCTTGATCAGGCCTTGTCCCCCACACGAAAGAAAACGAAACAGGCTGGGAGATGACTGTGTGGTAGAGCATTTGACTAGCCCGCACAAAGCCCTGGGTTTGATCTCCAGTACACAAAGTAACAACAACAATGTATGTTTTAAAGTTATAGATCTTGTTAATGAAATGTCCAGTATTTTTGAGATGAGGTCGCATGTATACCAGGCTAGCCTCAAACTCTAAATCCCCCTGTTTATCTAAATCAGATAAACTTCTGCTCCCCCTGAACCCCGCCCCCCCCAGTTCTGGGATTACAGGCATGTTCCACCATGGCTGGTTTTAGGCAGTGCTGGGGGTAGAACAGTGGGGGGGGGGGTCCTTGTGCATGCTGGGCTAGCACTCTACGAACTGAGCTCCACCCCCAGCCCCATGTCCAATAAATTATTTTCTGGCCCCCCTACCTTGACAGATACACCCTCATGGGCAACCTAGGAGACCAGGCTTGAATTCAGGTTTTTCGGCTTCCTGTGAGGCGAGTTTCACACCAGAATGACATCAGTCTAGAGAGATGGCTTCATTCTCACCCTGGCTCCAGCCACCCCTGCCCTATTCCCACAGCCAGGTCCTCTCCGCACCACAAGGGGCCGCCCAGACAGACACCTGGCTTCGGTCTGCTTCCGGCCACAGTCCTGTAAAATAGCATGCCGTGGCAAGTACTCTGCCAGCTGAGCTGCATCCCCAGCCCTGAGCATTTATGTGGTCCTGATGCTCAGCCCTGCTGTCTACACTTGACAGAAAGCTGCCGGAACAGAGCACTTGGAAGCACCCGGGCTAGGGCATGTGCACGGGTGCCCGGATTTTAAGGGTGCTCGGGGATTGTTCTTCTTTGGCGGCCACCAGAGCTGGAGCCAGGGCTTGAAGTTCTCCCTCCCTCCACTGGAGGGGAGCGCGGACAATCCCCAGGCAGGATTATTAGTCTTCCTGGAAAAACCCAGCCCGGTTTGATCCCAACTTGTGGATTTCTGGAGGCGGGGAGGGCAGGGAGGTGGCGCCAACAGGGCATCTCTGTCAAGCTGGGTCTCCAAACCAGAGCTCGTGCCATCTAGGCACAGCCCCAAGTGTTCGCCCCCCCCCCCCCCCCCCCGCCGCAGCTCCCTGGATCCTGCCTCACCCCAAAGATGAAAGGCAACGCAAATAAGGTGACAGAGCCAGGAGGGGGTAAGGGGTTCTGGACCGCACAGGGGTGGGAACCAGCAGGGGGCCGCCGGGGCCTGTTAGGGGAGGAGGGCAGGGCATCGCTCTTTCTGGACAAGCTTTAAAAATTTTCCACCCCGTCCCCACCCCCTGCAGATCGGCTTTGCTGTCCTACCCAGGAGGGGACACTTAGACCTGTTGAGCCATCACCAGACGCCAGGACTGTGCTAAACGCTCCTCTTCATGCGTATTCCCATTAAATCCCCGCAGCCACCCTATGAGGTGGGCTTTATCCTTATCTCCATTTTCAAGTAAGGAAGCCAGTTCAGAAGTAGAGGCGATAGGACTCAAGGCTAACCCACCCCAAAGTTCCCCTTTCCTAAACTCACTGCCTCCCAAAAGCAAGAAGCTAGCTATCCCCAAAGCAGAAAAGATGGTCAGAAATGAGCAAGGGCCATTGAGATGGCTTAGCAGGTATGGGCACTCGATGCCAAGCCTGATGACCTGAGTTCGATTCCCCAGTACCACATACATGGTGGAAAGCAAGAAAGAACTCCAGCAAGTTGTTCTTGCTCATGCCAAGGCGCGCGCGCGCGCACACACACACACACACACACACACACACACACACACACACACACTGGGGAAGAATTTACTGACAATGACCATGTATGGGGGAAGAGACCATGGAATGAAGAATCTAGATGACCATGAAAAGTCTCCCCTGCTATCCCCAGTCATCACTTCATTCTATCCAAAGACTCATGATGGTCTCTGGAAGGTTCCTGGAGTCTTGGCTGGGACCAGGTGGCATCACCCTTATCTCCCTCTGTTCCACACCCCAGGGCTTTTTGCTTTACTGAGTGGACCATGAGGTTCCAAGTTGCCTCTCCTTTGTGGCTCAGGGAATCCAGCATCACAGCTGGGTTCGCTCAGATAGCCTCTTGCAGAAAACCTACCCTGGATCCTAGGAGACAGTGTCCCATCCTAAAGCCC